CTTCCTCCCTCCCTCTTGCTATGCATATTTAAATGTCTAGCACATTGAGGCTACTCTTAAAGATGTTGAATCAATGAAGAATTCATGCCAGTAATGTTTGACTTTATCTAGTCCTTCTGTGTATGGCTGCCTTGTTTGGAGAAACTGGTTTCATGCTCAGCTTGGCGGTTTAGCCTCTATTCTTGGTACTTCAGAAGTAGAGGCAGGATGATCTGGACTTCAAGGTCACCTTCCTATTCATACTGAGTTGAAGGCAAGCCAGAACTGCACGAGACTGTGTCGGAGCTCTCACACACACCAAAAAGAAAGGGAAGATTTTATAAAAAGTTGTCTTAAGGTCCGGAAATACACCTTTGACTTAACTCTCCACTGGTTTTAGTTCGGCTTTGCTTTCTTGCCCTTATCTAGAATGTACCGTAATTCTGCAGAAAGTCCTTAGGACAAGGACTTGGAGATTCTAACTTTTATCTGTGCCTCTAACAGTCAGAGGTATTTCATGAGACACTTGACATTGGCTCCCTTATTCCACAGAAGTATTCCTGCTTCCACTTGACAGAGGGAAAATGATGTTTACTTTTGTTTTTGAGTCAGAGTCTCATTATGTAGGCCTGGCTACATAGACTAAGCTGATCTCAAATTCACAGAGATCCAACTATCTCTGCCTTCCAAGTACTGGGATTAAAGGTATACTGTGCCTGGCTGATAGATTGATGTATTTGTATTTTAGTTTCTCTGAGGAAAGTTGTTGTAACATCTGAGTGATAATTGGCATTCATAAAGCTCTTACTGTTTGTTAGAGACTGTCTTAGGTATTTTGCTTTATATTAACTCATTTAGTCTACACAGTGGTGCTGTAGAAGGTTGATTCCTGTGTTCTCACCACGTCGTACTCTATGGAATCAAGGCAGAGAAAAACTCACTGGCCAGGCAGTGCAGAGTAGTGAGGCTGGGAGTGGAACCCAGTTGGCCTCAGTTCCAGAGCCTGTGGCTTGCCTGGCTTACCCTCCTCTCATGTCTGATTGCATCACTTTTGTCATTAGCTTGTGTTAGTCACACAGAGACACTTGTGGCATATTTACAATTGTGAAATTGAAGATAACAAGGAAGGAGCTGGAGGCACGGCTCTGCTGTCACTGGTGGCTCTTTCAGAGGACCATATGGCTGCTCGCAAACAGTCCGTTACTCCAGTCCTAGGGAATCCAGCACCCTCTTCTGGCCTCTAAAGATACTTCATGCACATGTTACACAGGTATACATAAAGGCAACACCCATACACACATGTATGCACACACCCACAGTAAAGATTAAAGTTCACATAGCCAGATTTAAAAAAAAAAAAAAAAAAAACAAGGAAAATCTAAGGTGGTAATGGTAGATCTACATAATGAACAGCAATTTCTGTCTGTTTTTTAAAAAACTGTTAGATTTATTATTTTTATGTATATGAGTATTTTGCTTACATGTATATCTGTATACCACAAGCATACCTGGTGCTCATGGAGATCAGAAGAGGGCATCAGATCTTCTAGAAGTAGAGTTATAGATGATCGTGAACCACCATGTGGGTGTTGGGACCTCAGCCTGGGTCCTCTGCAAGAGCATCTAGTACTTTCAGCTACTGAGCCATTTCTCTAGGCCTGGACTGCCATTTTAAATCACAAGTTTTGTTTTTGTTTGTTTGTTTGTGTGTGTGTGTATGCATTTATACATGTACATGTGTATGCATATTACATATATATTCTATATCTTGTATATTACACATATACACATACATCTTTGGGGGACTTTTTAGTGTGTAAACATCTTAGTGTGTGTGCCTGTGTGCATGTGTTTATGCCACTGCATGGATGTGGAGGTCAGAGAGCAACTTACAGTCTCAGTTCTTGCCTTCCTTGTTTGAGACTGGATCTCTTTGTTGGTTTTGCTAGCTAGCCTGTAAGCTTCCAGGTACTCCTTCCCATCTCTCTGTAAGAGTGCTGTGATTACAGATACACACTACTGCCTGCTGCCCTGGCTTTATCTAAATTCTGGGCATTTTAATTTTCATTCTCGCATGGCAAGTGCTTTACTACTGAGCCGTCTCCCTAGCTTCCCCACCTCCTCGGTTTACCTTTTGAGACAGGGTCTTACCCTGTAGCTCAGGCTAGCTATAGAACACAATAGTCCAAACTAGTGCCAAGCTCACGGAAATTCTCCTGCCTTAACCTCCCAGGTACTGGGATTACAGATGCAACCCACCCATTGCTGGGAGTAATAGTAGAACTTTTTATGTGCAGTGTGGTTGTGAGAGGTTGAGCTTAAAATTCAAACCTTAGTTAAACAAATAAGATTTGGGGACTGGAGAGATGGCTCAGTAGTTATGAGCACTTACTGCTCTAGAAGGATATGGGTTCTGTTTCCAACACCAACAGGGTACCCAACAGTGGTTTGTAACTGCAATTCCAGAGGGTCTGATACCCTCTTCTGGCCTTCCTGGACACTGCAAGAATGTGGTGCTCAGACATACTTGCAGGCAAAACAATCATACTCATAAAAAAATAAAATAAATGAATCGTGCTAGGGTGTGATGGCACATGCCACCCATGTAACCCAGTAACCCAGAGGTACAGGCAGGTCGGTCTCTGGCCAGCCTGCTCTACAGAGCACATTCTAGGCTAGCCATGGCTATGTAATGAGACCCTGTCTCTAATAAGTAAGAGAATACATCTTAAAAAAAATTTAATGCTTACTTCTTAGGGAGCACATATACTAAACTTTGGACAATACAGAGAAGATTAGCATGGTCCCTGTGCAAGGATGACACGCAAATTTGTGAAGCGTTCCATATCTTTTAAAAGACTAATATGAGCAGAAGATACAGTTCAGTCTTAAAGTGCTTGCCTAGCACAGACAAGAGCCTAGGTTCAATTCCAGCAATAATAACTAACAAACAAACAAAAAACAAATATCGTGACTATGCGTATGGTAGATATCTTATTAAAACCATTGTGTTGTTTGAGTCAGGGTCTTATACTTCCATTCAGTCTGGACTGAAGTTCATTATGTAGTCCAAGCTAACACCAAACGCATAGCAAATCTCCTGCCTCAACCTCCCAGCTGCTGAGGTCACAAGCGTGAGTCATCACATATAACTAATTCTTTACATGTGCTTTCTCCTCTCAGCCACCATGCAAATACTATTGTTTTTATAAATGGAGAAATTGGTCTACAGAGATTAAGTATCTTGTCGTATAAACAGTACCAAGCAGTCGGGAACTCTATATTAATTATTTTTGTTTTCTAAAATTTTTAAAATTTGTGTGGCTTTTATGATAAAGAATAAAGCTAAGGGGCTGGAGAGATGGCTCAGCTGTTAAGAGCACTGATTGTTCTTCCAGAGGTCCTGAGTTCAATTCCCAGCAACCACGTGGTGGCTCACAACTATCTGCAATAGAATCTGATTCCCTCTTCTGGTATGTCTAAAGACAGCAACAGTATACTTACATAAAATAAATAAATAATTACCCTATTAAAAAATGGGGTATAGAGCTTAACAAAGAATTTTCAACGGAAGAAACTCGAATGGCCGAGAAGCACCTAAAGAAATGTTCAGCATCCTTAGTCGTCAGGGAAATGCAAATGAAAACAACCCTGAGATTCCATCTCACACCAGTCAGAATGGCTAAGATTAAAAACTCAGGTGATAGTAGATGCTGGCGAGGGTGTGGAGAAAGAGGAACACTCCTCCATTGTTGGTGGGACTGCAAGATGGTGCAACCACTTTGGAAATCAGTCTGGCGGTTCCTCAGAAAATTGGACATAGCATTACCCGAGGATCCAGCTATACCACTCCTAGGCATATACCCAGAAGATGCTCGAACATATAACAAGGACATATGCTCAACTATGTTCATAGCAGCCTTGTTTATAATAGCCAGGAGCTGGAAAGAACCCAGATGTCCTTCAACTGAGGAATGGATTCAAAAAATGTGGTATATTTACACAATGGAGTATTACTCAGCTATTAAAAACAATGAATTCGAGAGGTTCCTAGGTAAATGGATGGAACTAGAAATTATCATCCTGAGTGAGGTAAGCCAATCACAAAAGAAGACACATGGTATTCACTCACTGATTATTGGATATTAGCCCAGAACCTTGAAATGCCCAAGATGCAACTCACAGGTCACATGAAGCCCATAAAGAAGGAAGACCAAGTGGGGGTGATTCGGTCCTTCTTAGAAGGAGCAACAAATTACTCAAGGGAGCAGATATGGAGACAAAGTGAGGGACAGACCACTCCACCTGAGTATCCCATGTGCAATCACCAAAGGTAGAGGCTGTTGTGGAAGTCAGGAAGTGCATGCTGATAAGAGCCTGATATGGATATCTCCTCAGAGGTCTTCAAGAGTCTGACATACTCAGAGGCAGATGCTCACAACTAGCCATTGAACTGATCATGGGGTTCTCAATAGAGGAGTTAGAGTGAGGACTGAAGGAGCTGAAAGGGTTTGTGGCCCCATGAGAAGAGCAACAATACCAACCAACAAGAGCTCCCAGGGTCTAAACCACCAGCCTGGGAGCACTTAGGGAGGGATCCAGCGCTTCAGTTGAATATGTAAGAGTGGAGGGCCCTGCTGGGCATAGGTGGAAGAAGAGAACCTTGACTGCATGAAGGCTGGATGCCCCAGAGGGTGGGAATTTTGAGGGTGGGGAGGTGGGAGTGGGGGGGTAGATAGAGGTTACATCCACAGAGAAGAAGGAGGAGGGGTGGGGGGATTGGGGGTTCCTGGGTGGGTGGGGGATGGGGTAAGGGGACAACATAGGAAATGTAAATATAACATCCAATAAAAAAAAAAAGAAAAAAAGAAAAAAAAATCATTATCATAAAAAATAAATCTTTAAAATAAATAAATAAAGTTAATTTTAAAAATATGTAAACATATCAAGACCTGCAATAAGCCAAGATTGTATTATGTGATAGAATTTATTGAATTATGTGATAGAAATTTATTAATTTTAACCACTGATACCCAAAAACTATGTATGAGAAATAATAGAAGTATAGATTTGAAAGAACTCAGACAGATTTTAAAACTTGAGCTGGGCATTGCAGCTCATCTGGCTACTCCCAGCACTTAGGAGACCGAGGCAGGAGAATTGCTGCAAGTTTTACTCCAGTCTGGGCTACAGAGTGAGGCTGGCAAAATCAAAAGCCAGAAAACATCTAATGGATTGTTTTCTGCCCAAAGTGGGAACTGGTGTGTGTGGTCTTTTTCTTTTGTTGTTTTGTTTACACTTACTTTGTGTGTGTGTGTGTGTGTGTGTGTGTGTGTGTGTGTGTGTGCGCGCGTGCGCGCAGCATAGCACACATGTAGAGGTTAGAGGACAATTTTCAGAAATTAGTTCTTTCCTTCTGCCCTGAGAGTTCCAAGGATTGAACTCAGGGCTTCAGACTTGGTGTCGGGCACCTTTGTTCTGTGAACAATCTTGTTTTGTATGTATTTTACGTGGCGTATTATTTGAAAATCTGATGGCTATGTTATAATGTAGCTGAGTATTTTTATCACTGTTTAGAAAATTACCCACTTATTTAATTTTAATTTTATGAGTATGGGGCTTTTCCCAGCATATATATCTGTGAATCCTTGTATATAATGCCTGGGGAGCCAGAAGAGGGCAGCGGCAATTTCCTTAGCGTCAGAGTTAGATGGTTGCAAGCCAACATGTGAGTACTGGAAACCGAGCCCAGCTCTTCTGGAAGAGCAGCCATCTCTCCAGCCTCTGCCAAGTTTTTTTCATTAATAAAAATGTTATTATACATATTTATTTAGCCTCTGCCAATATTTTTTGTTAATAAAAATGTTACTATTATTTATTTATTTATTTATTTATTTATTTATTTATTTATTTGGGTGTGTGTACTAGCTAGTTTTATGTCAGCTTAACAAAAGCTAGAATCATTTGGGAAGAGGGACTCTCAATTGAGGAAATGCCTCTATAGTTCATTTTCTTAATCAGCAATGTGGGAGGCCTCAAGCCATTGTTGGCGACGGCACTCCTGGACTGGTGGTCCTGGATGCTGTGAGAAAGCAGGCTGAGCAGTCTAGTAAAGAGCATTCTTCCACGGCCTCTGCATCAGTTCCTGCCCTGACTCTGTCAGTGATGGACTGTGATGTGGAAGTATAAGCAGAATAAACCCTTTCCTTCCTAAATTGTTTATGGTATGATGTTTTATCATAGATGATAGAAATGCTAACTAAGCCAGGGTATGTGTATGTGTGCAAGCACGTGTGCAGAGGTCAGAGGACAGCTGGCAGAAGTGGGTTCTCTCCTTCCCCGTGTGGGCTCTAGAGATTGAGCTCTGGTCATCAGACTTAGCAGCAAACATCTTCATCCACTGAGTGTTGTGCCAGCTCTTCTACCCATCTGTGTTGTCTGATCAGTCATTGTAGTTTATGTGGACACCTGTTGTGGGCAAACGCCCACATGGAATGGCTTTCTGTTTGTGAATGTATGGAATTTCCCATAGGTGTAAGAGGATTTTCTGATGTAAGTATGTACATATATAAATACATATGTAGCAAAAGACAGATTGTTCCTCGAACATCTTTCAGCTTCAAGGGTATCACCAGACACGGAAGGCAACTGTCTGTCATGCTATCCTATAATTAGCCCACTGTCAAAGAGAGCGTGGGAAACTAGGTGGGGCATTACTGTATTCCACAAAATGTCCCACACATCCTTCTTTATTTTTAAGATTTATTTATGTAATGTGTATGAGCACACTGTAGCTGTCCTCGGACACACCAGAAGAGGGCATCAGACCCCATTATAGATGGTTGTGAGCCACCCTGTGGTTGCTGGGAGTTGAACCCAGGGCCTCTGGAAGTGTTCTTAACCTCTAAGCCATCTCTCCAACCCTGTTCCATACATTCTCATGTGAGAAGATTCCAGCTTTGGAGGCTTATGTGTTTGCCAGGAAGTTATAGCTACCTAGAAGGGTTTTTTTTGGTTTTTCGAGACAGGGTTTCTCTGTATAGCCCTGGCTGTCCTGGAACTCACTCTGTAGACCAGGCTGGCCTCGAACTCAGAAATCCGCCTGTCTCTGCCTCCCAAGTGCTGGGATTAAAGGCGTGCGCCACCACCGCCCGGCTACCTAGAAGTTTTTAAAGAACAGCTAGAGAATTCTTCATGTGACAGAAGTTAATTTGGAGACCATGTGGCACACCTCCTCAGGTCTGTTAACAGAACTTGTCAGTAGAAATCAGATGCAAATTTATGTCAATAAGTGAATGAGTGGGTATGTGGCAAACATACCCAGAATCTCAAATAGAGGGCAGGGGTGTATGGAGGAGAATTGGGTCATAAACAAGACTGTGCGAGAGAATGAGCCTTGGACACTTGTGTTAGGAGAGCTGTTTCTGGGGCTGGAGAGATGACTCCACAGCTGACCGTGCTGAGGACTCAGTCTCCAGTACCACAGCTCACAGCCTTTGTTACTTCAATCCCAGAGACTCCAAAGGTACCAGGAACAGATGTAGTACACGGCCATACATTCAGACAAAACCCCTTTACATATAAGATAAATGAAAAAAATTAAATTAAATTAAGAGGAGAATTGCTGCCTTGTGCTGGGCATGGTAACTGTCTTACTTAGGGGTTTTACTGCTGTGAGCAGACACCGTGACCAAGGCTACTCTTATAAGGACAACATTTAATTGGGGCTGGCTTAAAGGTTCAGAGGTTCAGTCCATTATCATCATGGCAGGAACATGGCAGCATCCAGACAGGCATGGTGCAGGAGGAGCTGAGAGTTCTACATCTTCACCTGAAGGCTGCTAGGAGAAGACTGACTTCCAGGCAGCTAGGATGAGGGTCTTAAAGCCCACATCCACAGTGACACACCTACTCCAACAGGACCACACCTAGTTTGAGTCTAATCTGGGCAACATAGGGACCATATCTGAAAAAAAAAAACCCCGAAAACTAAACTAAACTAAAACTAAGTTGAAACTAAACTAAAAAAGACTATAGATGTGGAGATCCAGGTGTTTGGTTGCAGTACTCAGAAAGCAGAAACAGGTGGGTCTCTGTGACATTTTGGCCAACCTGGTCTGTCTATGTAGCAAGTTCCAGGACAACTAGAGCTACATAGTGAGACCTCGTCTTTAAAGACAAAACAACAAAACCAACTAAGAAAGCAAGAGAAAGAATGACTTGTGTTTTAAATAGTTAAGGTTATCAAACAAGAACAATGAAATCACTTCTCTCAATAGAGAAAGAACAGGAGCATTTCTCTTAGTATGTAACTCTTCCCAAACTATTTTCTTTTACCTTTTTAAAATGCATCGTAGAAAACTTAAAACATGTTCGTTCCATTCTTTCCACGAGCCTGAGTAGTCCATTCCTTTAGCTCACAGTGAAGTGTAATAGGAGACAGTTCTCCTGGTCTCTTCCACAGTGGCTTCTTTAGTCCTGAGTAAGAGGGTCAGCTGTCCCAGTTTAACACAGAAAGACCTGTCTCCTTGGAGATTTTTCAGTGCTAAGCAAACCAGAACAGTTAGTCACCTTAATCCTGAAAGTGACTGTCACCAACCCTAGGGATTGGAGTTGGGGTAGGAAGCATTTTAAAATGGAAGAAATGGATAAAAAATGAGAAGTGCTAGGTATGATGGAAATACATATTTTTTTTTTTGAAACAGAATCTCACTCTGTAGTCCAAGCTGGCCTAAAACATAGTTGTGTAACTAAACTATGTAACATATGTAAACATAGTTGTGACTGTCCTTAAATTTGTGGCAATCCTCTTGTCTTAAAACAATACTGGAATTACTACCAAAACCTGCCACACCTAGTTCACATCTTCCTTTGGAAGAATCTTACTGTAGTTATGGAAATGCAGAGATCTGTGAGCTAGCTAGTAATAAGTGCTGCATTGGTTGTATGTTAGAGGTAAGTATTAACCGGCCCAGGGTTCGGTCCTGTGTTCTTCACTGTCCACATGGAAAGACCCACTGAGAGGTAAAAGGAACATCATAAAGGTTTTGAATGCTCTGAAAATATGGGACATGTGCCTCAGAAGGGGGTTTTGTTTCTTTGAAACAGGGTCTCACATTGTAGTCTAGGCTGGTCTAGAACTCAAAGCAATCCACCTGCCTTAGCCTTCCAAGGACTAGGATTAGAGGCATGCGCTACTATGCCCAGCTAGGTTTGGGCTCGAGGAGATAACATTTTGTACACTAGGTAACTTTATTTGGGCGAGTAGAGAAGTGAACCTGTCCTATGTAACAAGCTTCGTTTCCTTCCTTAACTTTGTTCTTGGCTTCTCATTGTACAGAGAAGTGTGGGAAATGGAGCTGGATAGACTCAAGACCCAGGATGGGGAAATCAACCGGAACATTATGGAAGAGACAGAGCGGGCCTGGAAGGCAGAGGTAGGAAGAGCCAGTGTCTTCAGAACCTGGGCTCTGTGCTCCCAGGCGCTCTACAGTTGTGGTAGTAGAGAAGTAGAAGCCTGGAAACATTTGTTCTAACTACAGGTAGTTTGTGATTGTAAAGTTAACAAGTTCTCTCTTCCTCCCCGACTTCTTCTACCCCCCCCCCCCTTGTGTGTGTGTGTGTGTGTGTGTTCCTTAGATCCTGTCACTAGAGAGCCGGAAGGAATTGCTGGTGCTGAAACTGGAAGAAGCAGAAAAAGAAGCAGAACTTCATCTGACTTACCTCAAGTAAGTGTCTCCCTCTAAGGCCAAGGTGGGTAGGCCTGGCCTGCATCTGTCTTCACAAGACTCTTAAGGCTTTATCTGTGTTCTCTTCTGTGTTCTTTCTGCACTTTCTCACTCTTTTCTCTTCTTATAGTTTTATACTTTTTATTACTGTATTTCTGTTTGAGTAAATACTCTCTGCTAAACCATCAAAGTATAATCTAGGTCTTTGGAGCTTTGTTTCTTCCATGGCCATTTCTCCTCTGTCGGCCCAGGATTTAGAGGCTCTCTATAGCATTTTCAGGCAGGCAAGAAACCTCTTGGTGGGATGATGTCATGAACCAGGCATGGTGTTACGTTCCTGTAATCCCAGTACTTGGGAGTCTGAGGCAGTAGGATTGAAAGTTCCAGGCCAAGATGGGAGACCCTGTCTCAAACAGAAAGGTAGTATGATTTATGTGAAGCAGATGACTTAGAATCTTGGGTTTCTCTAGCATTTGCTCCCACCTCTTTTTTCAAGAATCATTACCCAACAACTGTTTCTTAGCATAGAACTGGAGTTTAGAGCAAAAACCCAGGCTCTGGCAGCCCTGCCACTCATCCCAGTATACCAGTTAAAGAGATTAGTGATAGGAAAAACAGAGAAGATACAATCAACGTGGCCACATTGGGAAGAATAATAAAGGGACCCAGAAATGCCAGAACTGCCTTTGGAGTACCAGCATGAGCTTTAGGTTCATCTGTTTATATAAGGACTTTTTATTCTTATTTATGAGTGTATGTTTGAGTGTAAGTACACGGGTACCCACAGACAGATGCCAAGGGTGTCGGATGGATGCCCACAGTTGGAGTTATAGGCAGTTGTGTAGTGTTCAGTGTGAATGCTGGGAACCAAACTTCTTTCTTCCACAGAGCAGCAAGCACTGTTGACAGCTGAGGCATCATCTCTCCAGTGTAGGGCTTTGCTGGAGATAGGATTTTGTGTAGTCAGGCTGCCTGGAACACTTGATTCTTCTCCCTCTACCTTCAGAATGTTTGGTTTATAGGTTTCCGTCACCATGTGGCACTGAACTTCACGATTAAATAGAGGAGATATTGGGGCAAGGGACAAGAGGTTCAAATAATTAACCAGTGTGGCTCAAGACGTGCTCTCATTGATATTTGTCTCAGTACTTGTTCTGAAGAAGTCCCTTAGATGTCATCATGTGAGGGGATCAGTCTGGTTCCTATAAGATGACCCCTTCTACTCCAGGGTCCAGGCTAACCCTCATGGATGACTGCCCTTATCAGGAGGGGCAGCCTTTCCTGGAAGTTGTAATTCCTCCTTGAATCCCTGGTGATTGCAGCTTTAGGACAGTTGTCTCTGTGCCATCATCATCAAAAGGAGAGGGAATTATAGATTAGATACTTGTTGATAAGTAACACAGGCTAGCTAAGTGACATGCCTATGCAGAGGCCAGCACACGGAGACACAAAGAGGAGACACAGAGTGAAGGCAGCAGTGCTGAGCTGTCATCCATCAGCTACTATGAGAGACCAAGTGTGGAGGCAATGCTTTTTGGCCCAAACGATTTCTAAACCTGTATTTTCCATAAATCAAGAATTGATTGTCAGTCAGGTGGTGGTGGCAGTGACCAGCTTTAATCCCAGCATTTGGGAGGCAGAGGTAGGCATATCTCTGTGAGTTCAAGGCTAGCCTGGTCTACAAAGCAAGCTCCAGGACAGTCAAGGCTATTCAGAGAGAGACCATGTTTTGAAAAACAAATAAACAAAGGATTGTTTGATTGTTGTTTTATCAATTCTATGAATTCTTTGTGTTTTGAAAGGTCAACTCCTCCAACACTAGAGACAGTTCGTTCCAAACAAGAGTGGGAGACAAGACTGAATGGAGTTCGGATAATGAAAAAGAATGTTCGGGTAAGTGTAGTTCACAGCGATGATTCAGTCAGCCCCAGTTTGTGTTTAACCTCTCCTGACAGTAGGTTGGCAGGTAGCCGTTTGCACTGCTGCCCAGAGCTGCTCCTCCCTGCTGTGGGGTCCTGAGAGTGGCAGCTTTCTTCTGAGGTCCGCTCAGCCTAGCAGTAGATAGAAGACAGTCCTTTCTGTTCCTTTTGCTACAGGACCAGTTTAACAGTCACATCCAGCTCGTGAGGAATGGAGCCAAGCTGAGCAGCCTTCCTCAGATCCCTACCCCGACTTTGCCTCCGCCACCCTCAGAGGTAAGTACTGGCTCTGACGAGTCCTCCTGTGTGCACTGTGAACAGAGTCGCAGGTGTCTGCTTGTTCTTTTTACGAAGACATTGGGACCGTCATCATTTAGTGCCAGGGTGGAAGAGTTGCTCACTGATTTCCGCAGTTTTCTCTCTTTAAAAAAAAAAAAAAAGATGGTTGTTTTTGTTGTTGTTGTTTTGATTTGCTGGTAGTTTTGACTATCCTGGAACTGTGTAGACCAGGCTGGTCTCAAACCCGCCTGCCTCTGCCCCCTGAATGCTGGGATTAAAGGCAGGTACCATCACCACCCAGCTTCTAAAAATTTTTTATATGTGTCTATATTTACATAATGTATGTGTGAGTGCATGCTCGTATGTGTGTGTATGTATGTGTGTGTATGTGTGTATGTTCCCATACACTTAGGCCAGAGGTCAACTTTGGGTTACTTGCTACCTTTTAGAGTTTGTTTGTTTGTTTGTTTGTTTGAGATGAGGTGTTACTCAGTATGAGTAACTCCTTATGTAGACCAGGCTGGCCTCAGATTCACAGAGACCCAGCTACCTCTGCTTTCTGAGTGCTGGAATGAAAGATATGCATTACCACACCGAGCCTGTGTACCTTACTCTTTGAGACAGGGTCTCTTGCTGAACCTAGAGCTCAGGGCTTGGCTAAACTGGCTAGCCACTGTGGGGATCTGCTTGTCTCTGCCCCTGAAGCATTAGCATTACAGATACACACCCCACTATAGGCGTTTATGTGGACGTTGGGATATGAACTCAAGTCCTTATGCTTGCAAGGCAGGTGCTTTACCTACTGAACCATCTCTGTAGCCTTTCTCCAGTTCCTAATCTTTTCTCCCCGTCTCTTTTGTGTCTACCTCTTCCTGTCTGCAGGCAGATTTCATGCTTCAAGTATTTCAGCCCAGTCCGTCTCTGACCCCTCGGATGCCCTTCTCTATTGGGCAGGTCACTATGCCTATGGTTATGCCGAGTGCGGATCCTCGCTCTTTGTCTTTTCCAATCTTGAACCCTGCCCTTTCCCAGTCCAGCCAACCTTCCCCTCCTCTTCCTGGCTCACATGGGAGAAACAGCCCAGGCTTGGGTTCCTTGGTCAGCCCTCATGGTCCACACATGCCTCCTGCTGCCTCCATTCCGCCTCCCCCAGGCTTGGGCGGTATTAAAGCTTCTACTGAAACTCCCCGGCCCCAACCAGTAGACAAACTGGAGAAGATCCTGGAGAAGCTGCTGACTCGGTTCCCACAGTGCACTAAGTAAGTGTCATCAAGGGTCAGTTCCAGTCTGTCAGAGAAATGCTTACGATCTGAAGTAAGGAGGTAGTGTGGATGTTCCCAGGAAATCTAAGTTTCTTTCCCTAACACTGTTTGTCCTCAGGGCCCAGATGACCAACATTCTTCAGCAAATCAAGACAGCACGTACCACCATGGCGGGCCTGACCATGGAGGAACTAATCCAACTGGTAGCTGCACGACTGGCAGAGCAGGAACGGGTGGCATCAACCACTCAGGTAAGAGGAGCCTCAGGGTGAGAACTTAGGCCTGCCGAGAGGTTGAGAAAGAAGCCAACCAGAAGATCTGGAAGTGAGGAGATCAGAGCAAGGAGTATCTGCTCTGCTTTTTTCTGCTTTTTTCATCATTAAAAGTGAATTTATTTCTTTTTGTGCTTTTTTTAAATTAAATTTATTTGTGTGTGTCTGTGTGTCTGTGTGTCTGTGTGTCGTATGTTGTGTGGAAGTTGGAAGATAACTTGTGGGAGTCCATTTTCTTCTACCATGTGAGTTCCAGGAATTGAACTCAGATCGTCAGGCTTACGTGCAAGCACCTTTACCCACTGAGCCATCCTGCTGGCCCCAGTTTCTTTTTTGATACATGCTCTGTTGCTCAGACTCTTCCCTCACTTTGCAATTATTTCTGCCCACAGCCACTTGGTCGGATCCGGGCTTTGTACCCTGCTCCTCTGGCCCAAATCAGTACCCCAATGTTCTTGCCTTCTGCCCAAGTTTCATACCCTGGAAGGTCTTCACATGTAAGACTCTTTTCTTTTAACACTGGGATGTGGAGAAGCACAGGGTGAGGAGGGAGTGGGTTACAGGTAAGAATGCTAGAGGAAACCATTATCTCCACAGCAGGGTTGTTTGCAGCCCTCCAGGGAACACGCTGCAAGTACTTTAGGCAGGAATCTAGCTTAGGACTTGTATCTCTTTCGCTGAAGAATAGTTTTGCACCATGGAACAAATGGATGGAGTCATGGGCATAGCAGGCAAGGTGACCTAGAGCTTGGCTAGCTATGACAAGCCTTCTTGTCCCACAGGCTCCACCCACTTGTAAGCTGTGTCTGATGTGTCAGAAACTTGTCCAGCCCAGTGAGCTGCACCCGATGGCCTGCACCCACGCACTGCACAAGGAGGTAGGTTTTGTATAGCATGTTGGGCTCTCCTCTGACAGACAGCTGAGGTAATTTGTCTTGACTGTCTTACTGGGTTGATGCTCATCATGAGTATGTAGTCAAAGTTTTCAGTCCCCTGTGGCCTCGCCATCAGCAGAGCTCGGAGTCCGCAGCTAGATGCTCATAGATTTTCACCCCGTTCTCTGCAGGTGACTCATAGGCAGCTTCTCCTTAAGCACTGAGAACTTATTTTCTTGGATATGTTTTGCTTGAGCTGAGAGAAGTGATAGGGCCTAATCAGGTAGGAGATTAGTAACTACAGTAGCAGAATAGTTTAAAGGTGTGCCGTCTATTTATTTATTTATTTATTTATGTTTTTTTTTTTTTGAGACAGGGTAGCCCTGTGTAGCCCTGGCTGTCCTGGAACTCACTCTGTAGACCAGGCTGGCCTAGATTCACCTTCCTCAGCCTCCTGAGTTCTGGGATTAAAGGCATGTGCCACCACCGCCCGGCCATGTGACTCCTTAACCATTTGATTTTATTCATTTTCTTTTTCCAAGTAGAAACTGGGTTAACATCTAAATTCTTTCAACTTTTTATGTAGATAAGAATGACTTTGAACATCTGATCCTCTTGCCCCCACCTCTGTGCTGGTTTATTGGTGGTGTGGATTCCCCCATGGCTTTCTGCATGCTAGGCAAGCACTCAGCTATGTCCTTAGCGCTTTTTACATTTACAAACCCTGAGGGCACACTCATACATTGAGTAAATAAGGTTTTTTTATTTTTTTTGGTTTTTCGAGACAGGGTTTCTCTGTGTAGCCCTGGCTGTCCTGGAACTCACTCTGTAGACCAGGCTAGCCTTGAACTCTTGAACTCAGAAATCCACCTGCCTCTGCCTCCCAAGTGCTGGGATTAAAGGCGTGAGCCACCACCGCCCGGCCAATAGTTTTTTGTTTTTTTTGTTTTTTTTTTAACGGTAGAAAAAAAAGACACCTGTGATAACCTCAGACCTCCATGCATATATGCGCATGCACGAGCTTGTTTTCATAAATAGCCCTGCTAGTTCATCTGGTCCCTGTGAGAATTTTTGAGAGTTAGATCTTATGATCTTTAATGGCACTCTCTGCTAACCTTACTTTGTTTTCCCAGCTAAGTCTGAGATATTATGTGTGTCTCTTTCTTTCCAGTGTATCAAATTCTGGGCCCAGACCAACACAAATGACACTTGTCCCTTTTGCCCAACTCTTAAATGATGGACCCGACGGGGAGGAAGCAGTGGAGATCCGGATGTGAACAGGAAGCGCGGGTTCAAGATTTCTAAACCTCTCTATATTTATACAGTGACATATACTCATGTCGTGTACATTTTTATTATATAGGTGATGTGTGTATAGAAAGTCTGTATTCAAATGTTCGTAATGAAAGTATGTATATAATGCAGAAACACCCCTCCCCCTCACCTTGCAGTTTTGGGGGGATGCAGACTGTAGGGATATGTGATGTTTAATTTGGCCTTGAAATCATGACCCCTGCGTAGGGCTGTGCCTAACCCATCTAGGAGGCTGGTGTTGCTCCAAGGCCGTCCTGCTTTGGTCTGGCCCAGCCTCTAGTCCATTTTGATAAGGCTTGTGTATGGAGATTTGACGTCTGGTGCTCACCTGCTGTGCATCCAGATGCTGGCCTTGCAGGGGTCTCCGAGCCTTGGTGGAGTTCTAGCCACTCTATTGCAGTAGACAAAGTGATACTGATTGAGGGGACAACTGTAACTCTGATAGTTTGATTCTTCATTGAACATTTTACTGTTAATGCTCATTATTTATACATTGATGTCAGGTACACAGGATATTCTGTTTTACGTCAGTAAAATCCACAGTCCAAGAACAACAAGATCAGGTTCCATTTCTCCCACCATCTTCTGTCTGCTCTGCTTTCTGGATAGAAAAGCACAATTTATAGATTTTCCCCCTGGGCCAAGCCACTATCCCTTGTTGCCATTGATTTGGCCTCCACTAAGCACTGAGAGGCCAGGCTTGCAAAGTGCTTGCCCTTCCCATTCCTCTGGTCTCCTCGCCTAGCTATCCCCTCCCCACAAAGGTTAAGGCAGTTGGTTCACCACCAAGTGGTTTGATGACCTTGGGTGAGCTCCAGACAGGCACTGGGGTGAGATATCTGTGCAGTTACTTGCAGAATAATCATGGGATGTTGGACTTCATTTGTCAATCAAGAAAGCTATGAAGGCCACGTTCCCTGTGTAGTGAGATGAGGGGAGGTGGCAGTCTGAAGCCATGCTCTGTGGACTCCCATTGGGAGGAGATAGTTTTCCCACATCCACTTACTGAGTACTTCTGGTTTTCATGTCTCAGAGAGCTGTGGCTTTGAGAACCTTGAGTCTTTTCCAATCTTTATCTTTACTCCTACAGGCTACAGGAAATGGCTTTAATTACCTTCTTTTTCAGAATTAAACAAGTGTTAATTGAGAAAAAATCTTGCATCTGGGGGAAGGGAAACATTATGTTACCAACAGTTGATGTTGTCCCGTTCTGGGACTAGGAGTGCTTATTGAATCTAGCAGTTTGTATTAGGATAGAAAAGACTTTCTCCTCTCTGAGCTAACCAAGTTCTCTTTCGTTTTTCCTCTTCCTTGCCTATGAGCTCATGGATGAGTTCTTTTCTCTTGCCTTATTTGTTCAGGTTGATTGACAAGCATGTTTAGGGGACTGGACTTCCCAGGGTTACCTTGGCATCTTTAAGGGGGAATGGAATGTCCTGAGTCCTCAGCTTTTTAGAGGTCAAGTGACCTCCTTTCTTTGGTTAATGAAGTACTTCTGTCTTCTTGTCTCCAGTTTGGTACTACTTGAACAGAAAAGGTGGCAAAATGGAAGTCTACTTCCTTTGTTCTTTTCCTGTGGGGCATTCCTTTTCTGTCTTATAAATCTTACCATTGCTCTCTCCCTTCAACTGTGGAGGCTCCAGCACTAGCAATGCAGTACCTCTCAGTGTCCCCTGAAAACTGTACATTGAAAGTGAGCATAGTCAAACATGGTGGCACAAGCCTGAAATCATGGCATATGGGAGGTGGACACACATGAGGGTCAGGAGTTCAAGGCTAGCCTGGGCTATATGAGACCATATCTCATCCTCCTGGCCCCTTCCTGTATAGACACACACACACACACACACACACACACACACACACACGGTTTCTATCAGGAGTGGTGGCACACACCTGTAATCCCAGCACTCAGGAGGCAAAGGCAGGAAGGTTGCTACAAGTTTGAGGCCAGCCTGGTCTACATGAGATGCTGTCTCAAAAAAAAAGAAAGAAAAGAAAAGAAAGAAAGAAAGGAAGAGAAAAACTACTTTTCTTTTCCTAAATAAATAAATAAATAAATAGATAGATAAATAAATAAATAAAATCTTAGAAGCCAAAAGAGTAGAGAGAGACAAAACCAGGACTAAGTTGGGGCCATGCTGTCTCTCAGAGCACGCCTGGGAAGGCAGCATTTTGGAGAGAGGCCCCTGCAGTTGGAGCCTTGTCACTGTGGCTCTGCCCTTGCAGAGAAAGAGTCAGGAAACCACTCAGAGTCTGCCACGCCTGCTCACATCACCTCTGCCCATCGGGCCTCAGTCCATGCAGACCAGTGGCAAAGCCCCACATGCAGTGTGGAGATAGGCCAGTCATTTTTCAGGAGACTTTGAAAATAGAACTGTATAATACATATTTTTACAAGCAAGAAGCTGTTGTCAAGATTTTTTTCTGTTTTACATATCAGAGTTCATAAGTTTATGATACAAAGGAGTTAACCATTAAAAGAAAAATAAATGCAAATTTCCCCGTTTAAAAAAAAAATAGAACACCAGTTACTAGGGTAAATAACAACTAGGTTGAGTTTTTTTTTTTTGCCCTGGAAAGAGATGGGAAAAAGCCAGTTTTTCCCAACATGGGTAGAAATTATAAAGCAGAATGTGGCGATTTCATGGTAGTGATCCTGGAAGCTTATTTACACTGTAGTTCTGAGCTGGAAGCGGACCGTCTCCATCTTCCTGGCAGTCTGTGGGTGTGGGGTATTCCTACTCAGCCAGAGCAGCACCATTGCAAGGGCAATGAAGAGGGCCCAGCTGGAAACTATGATGCAGGATTCTTATTTTATTGGTTTATGGCTTGTGGACAGCAGCTGGCTGGGGCCAGCAACTCCAGAGGCCCTGCTGGTGTCTCCTCCTCCTCAACTATTCCATGTTTGGCAGGTCCCCTACCTGAAAGCAGTGTAGAGCATACCAGGATAGGATACAGTGGTCATCCCAGGAAAACTCAGCTCTTCCCACTAACACTGGCTTCTTGTCTGTTGTGTTAGAACTGACAGGGAGGAGGTGAGTGTGGCCCCCACTGCCTAGCCCAAGAACCAGCCTGGGTACCCATGTACTATTGGGAGGGACAGCAGAGAGCAGGACAGAAAGACTGCTCTATCAGGAAAGAAGGGAGTAAGGAAGCCCCGAGGCTGCCATCCTTTCTCCAGGCAGCCTTGATACTGAAGGCAATGACATAGAAGCAGAAAGCCCTCTATCTTACATTCATTGTTTAATACTAGCCAATATGTGATATTTCCTTAGCCAGATAAATAGAGGGCCTTTGGAGAGGGCAAGAGAGTAACGAACCCACTCAGTATTCCATAAAGATCTTACTGTTTTGTACCACTGGGCAAAAAGAAATAAAATAAAAACAAAATGGAGGCAGAGGCAAATGTATCAGCCCTAACCCTGCTGAATGAATCTTGAGGGTTCTGCCTTTGTGGATCAGAGAGGAGAACTCTCCTGTCTGTTCCTTTTAGCACCTTAGTTGGAGTGAACCTATGCTGGGAAGACAATCCCCAGCCCTGCAATATTCTAACTGTTGTCCCACAGGGCACCTAGGACCTTAGGGTTGGGACATTTTAGTGCCACCTAGCATGTAGAAGAAGCAGGGAGAGACAGGTGGAATTAACAAGATAGGAATTCATCTGTCCAGTGGGACTTTTCTCATAAGCACTGTTCCTTTAAGAGTGTTAAAAAGAGCTCTTTGGCTAATAAGCCCTTTTCCCCATTTCATTTCACTTCAGACTGCAACCACAGACACATTGGGGAATGATACCTCTCTTAGTCCAGATGGGCTTCTGTCTTGGAGATGAGTCTAAACCTGGGCCTGGAAAGTGATTAGAGTCCTGCCTTTCCTAGCTTTGCCACCATCTCCTTCCTGTCTCTGTCCTGCCTCTCCTCATCTTGACTGCCCCCAGGAGTACAGACATTTGCATCACATAGGTTCTGGCTTATCTCAGGATGCAGTCTTTGTACCAGTGTAGGCTTGAGTCTACAGTCCCTATCACTAAAGCAACTGACAAACTGCATGTTCTTCTGCTGACTTTGGCCAGCAGGGAAATGAGATTGGCCCTTTCTCTGCCAGGGTACCACAGGGACACATGCCGGGTAGCCTGAGTATGACACCAGTACTTCTGGAAGGACGGAAAGAATACTTTGGGTTGGAGATTCTAAAGGATGCTAGGCAGAGGGTCAGGGCTGAAGCTTCAAGCAGCAAAATTTCCAACTCAAGTTTGTGGTGCCTAAGGGTATTCCTGCCACCAGAATGCTGCTTTCTTCCCTCTCCTGTCTCCTACAGGTGCAAGCCCTGTAATCCAGCTTGCCAGCTTTCTGTGTTCTGTCAAGGCAGAAGCATTTGGCAGGTCGGTGAGGGTCCTGAGGTGCTCTGGCCACAGGTACCATCCGTATCTCCAACTCATGTGACCAAAGGGAACCACCCAGATGTGGTCCAGGGGAATCTCCGTCATCTGTTCACGGGCCTCCTTATTTCAGCAGGGAGATGTCATCAGCAAAGTCGTCATGCTGATGACGCAGGCAGCGTAGGCAGCGCCACTGACATACCATGAGGCAGAGTGGCAGCATGAAGAGGGCGCAGATGGCAGCCATGACATAGGCTATGGTCATAAGTGTCGACTCATCTGTCTGTGGAATGTTGTAGCCACAGTCTTCCATGTCTGCTGTAACAAATGGACCTTCCACTGCCGCCGTCCTGAACTCATCATGCACTAGAGAAAGGATGGAGATGAACCGGTAGCTCTTACTGTCATAGTTTTGGTTATACAATTAAAAGAGCTTCCTGCCAGGGTCCCCTTGGAATCCACCCAAGTGAGGCTATGCAGAGCCCATCTTGGACAGAGTAAGCAGTAGGCAGGGACGCTAGTACTGAGGGAGGATGGTTTTCTTTCCAGGACCTTGGGAACTGCAAGGCTTTCCCATTTTCGAATCCAGTGGAAGTGATATCAAAAGTCAACAGTTCTGAGTTGACCAAAATCTAGTCCCTTACACACACAGCAGACTTACCTGTCCCTGTGAAAATCCAGCCACAAAGCCCTGGCCTGTTTTCTGCAGTAGCATTCAGCTACTGTGGGCAGCCAGCCACCCTTGCAGCTAGTCTTCCCGGGTGCCTGGGAAGCTATCAGTTCTACAACAGTGTTTCCCCACCAGGCATGCTCACCAGAGCAAGCCTTAGCTTAGCATTCATTCACACATGGTTGATTAGCCAGAGGCAGCTACTCCTACCTTCCAAACAGAAAGAGACCTGGGTATGAGCTGCTGACAGCAAGAACATGAACAGAGTGACCCCACACCCTCCTCACCATGGCAAGCGCTGACAGCAAAGCCAATTCGCTTTCGGGCTCGATCGAAGACAACATAGAAGCCTTCCATGATGACAGCTCCCATAACAGTGCCTGTGGATGACTGTGAGATGGCAAACTTGTAACAGTCGTCTTGGGACGTGGCCACATCTTCCACCGGCCGAAGGTATTGCTAAGGGTAAACAGTCCCAGGGTGAGAGCATGTCCTACTCTTCCTGCCTTCCTCTGCCTGTTAGTCACCTATACTTCGCTCTTCTTCAAGCCCTGAGACGTTGACTTTTCCCAGACCCCTTTGCCACTACACATTCATTTCGTTATTCAAGATGTAGCAAGCCATGTCTCTTTACATACTTTGTCTGCTTCTTGGCACCCCACTGTCTCAGCTTGGGAACATACCTGAGGAAGGATGGTGATGCGGAAGGACTGATTGGTGACTTCACCCATGAGGTAAAGTGAAATCACTGGGAAAATGTTCCAAGGAGTCGTGCCTGCTTGCCAGCACACCAGCTGCTCCCCCAGCCAGAAGCCATCCGGGAACTTCTCCGTCTGTTGACAAGAGAGGAATGTGAAGAGTCTGCCTGTCCCACCATCTCTTCTCTTGTGTTCAGAATCGTAGTGACAGTACCACTGTTTGCTTTTTCAGGGAATTTCCAAAGTGGCAAAGGTAAACTGAAGTCTAAGGGTCAGGAGGAGAAAGTAGGACACTGGGCTCATAGAGTTGTGTTAGGGTGACTGGGCGTGGCAGCTCGCACTGCCTATAGTCCCAGAATTTGGAAGGCTGAGGCATGAAGTTGTCAAGTTCAAGGTTAACCTGGGCTACATTCATGACCCTGTCCCAAATAAAAGAAAAAGAAAAGGTATCGCAATGCCAAGTCAACAGACCAGCTGTTTCTAAGCATCTGACAGGAAGGAGCTACGTGTACTGGGTGCATGCTAGACAGTGTGACTGTCACTGACTTGTGACACCTCCGCCCTTAGTCCACTGACCGAGGAGGCCGCCTTGATGGACTTGACCGCAGCTTCAAATACTTTCTTGGGCAAGCGAAGGTTGGTTGTGCCACTGTCCACGATGCTCTTGTCATAGTTGTACTGAGGAGAGAAAGGGGAAGAGGTGGGAGCGGTGACTGACAGCTAAGCTTCCTACTGGGGTTAGCATCGTAGCTTTCCCATTCCGTACGTGTACCTCCTTGGGTAAGTTGCGTAACTTCTGTGTACCTGTTTTCTTGTTCTAAACTGAAGAGAGTAACAGTGCCTACCTCAAAGGTTATCATAAGGATTAAACAAATCAAAAGGCCGAATGAAAGCACTAAGTAGGTCCTGGCAGATCCCAGGCACTTGGTAAGTACTGACTTCATCACCTAGTGCGGCTCGGTGTTCTCTAACTCGAAAACAGAAATGCCTTGTGCGGTATTTGTAACTTCTAGCACTCTTCTGTCGTCATTCTCCTTTACCATACGTTATAATGTAGAGAGGGGTGGCTCAGCGTGTGTGAAGCCGCAGGTTTGAGCCCCGATACTGCAGGGTGGTATATGCCTGTAGTGCACCTGAGACTCAGAGAAAGAAGGACCAGGAGTTCAAGGTCATCTCTAGCTACCTAGCAAGTCTGAGGCCAGCATGAGCTACATGGGAGCCTGTCTCAAAAAAAGCCAAAAAAAAAAAAAAAGAGTGCCGTTGAGATAGCAGGTAAGGGCATCTGCTACCAGGCATGATGTCCTGAGTTCAACCCCAGGGAGACCCACTAGTTACTGAAAATTTTCCTTGAACCCCCACACACAAGCTATGGCACATGCCCTATCCTCACCCCAATAAAGGTAAAAAAGTCTAGGGAAAGAGACCCCAAATATTGGCATTTGGGGGTATGCCAAGCATAGGGACTAACACTTCATACATGGGCTTTGACCTTCACAGTCTCTGAGAAAGTTTGTGTATTTTTACATCTGCTTTGTAGATGAGGAGTCTGGCACTATGTGAGGAGCCTGAAGACACTTAGTAACAGCAGGACTCAGGTCAGGTCCATCTAACCGCTGCCTCACAAAAGCCTTGCCCAAGGTCGTGAGAGGTAGTCACTAGAGTCCAGAAGGGAACTCTTCCATGCTGTCATTTCTGTACGTGAGCTCTGTGGTCCAGGCTCTGTGACTGCTCTGCCAGATCCTGCCCTTCACTGTAGGGCTGCTGTGGGATGCTGTCCTCAGCACAGGGCCCGTGCCTCCACTCTCATGGTGGCCTCCCAGTGTGGCACTCACCCCTGACTCTCTCGGGTCCCCTTCCATTTCATTACCTCCTTGCAGTCCATTTTCAGATCCTGGCCATTGATCTCCACACGTACGATGATCACTTCGTAATACCACTCCCGCCGGATGGGTGTGTACCAGAGACTGCCCGTGTATAGCGAGTGGTCGATACCACCAATGATCTAAAGGAAAAAGAGACAGACACCCGTGTCCTAGCACAGAAGGAGACCAGGTTACCCAAAACCAAATAGAGCAGCCATTTCTTGGGGTGCCAAGATTCTCTCTGATCTCCCATCATGCCCCATGCATGGTAATATTTAGTTTCCTAAATGTGTTCAGGAGAAGAAACACATCAGGATTATTTGTATCAAAATCTATAGCCCTTGACAGAAAGTTATTTAAACCTAAGCTAGTACAATAAATGTGGAATGAACTGATTATATGCTGCTTTCATACGTCTTCTTGTCTGTGCTTGTTGGAGAACCACTTGTTACTGTCCTAATTAATAAAGGGGCTTGAACTGAGTCTGGTGGCATACACTTGGAAGGAGGGGATGCTACAGGTCTGAGGCCAGCCTGGCCTACACAGTGAGTTCTGGGTCAGTCAAAGCTCCAGACACCCGCTCCTAACAGACTCCTTCCATACCTGCGCTCAGACTCTGACAGTAATCTACAGGACTAATTTTCATTGTCTTTGAAATGTACCTAATTGTTTCTGATCCTCTCCATGAGTGACTCACCTCCTTTCAAGAACAGCAGTGAAGAAACGAGTGGAAAAGGAAAGGAGGGAAGCAAGGATTGGGACTATAAAGGGGTTTCTTGATTCGGGCCATGAGGGAGAGGGCACATGGCCCCTCTGAGTGGTTACTCACCATGCTCCCTCCCACTGAGGCCAGTGCCTCCGTCTGGTTGAGGGGGAAGCCAGCGCCACAGAGCTGTAGAGAAAAGATGTTGGCAGTGTGGGTCTGCTTCACCAGCGAGTCGAAAAAGGGCTCCAACGAGTCGTCGGGCTGTGGCAGAGAGACACAAGAATAAATCCTCATACAGGGGCCCTACCAGGCAGAGGGCAGCTTCCTGCCTGTACTCAGGGCAAAGCCAGAGCTTGGGGATGTTCCTCAGAGAGACCTGGCTGAGCAAGTGCTCTGAGGCCATAGCACCTTCCACCCATCCCCTCCTGCACCTATCATAGCTGCACCTCTCTCTGTATCGTGCACACGTCAGTGCATGTGTGTGTGTGTTCCTATAGCGTGTGCACGAGTCAGTGCGTGTGTGTGCATGTGTGTGTGTGTCTTCCTATATCATGTGCACATGTCAGTGCGTGTGTGTGTTCCTATATCGTGTGCACGTGTCAGTGCGTGTGTGTATGCACATGTGTGCACACATGTATATGTATGTGTCTGTGCACACACATTTGGAAACCAAAGGACAACCTCGGATATTGTTCTTGAGAATCTGTGTACCTTTAAGACTATTTTCTGTGTGTGCGCTGGCCTGTGCAGCATGGGTGTGAAAGTGGGAGAAAGGAAGCGCAGGAATCAGTCTGTTCCTTCCACCACATGGCTCTTAGGCTTCCACAAGGGGTCTTGACCCACCAAGCCATTTCACCAGCCCTAGCTTGTTTTGTTTTTATGCTGGGCAGAAGTGGTTCACGCCTTTAATCCCAGCACCTGGGAGGCAGAGGCCGGTGGATCTCGGAATTCAAGGCCAGCCTGATCTACAGATCAAATTTCAGAACAGCCAGGGCTAAATGGAAAAACTCTATCTAAAAAAAAAAAAAAAGACTTTGTTTTTCTGAGTATGGATGTTTTGCCTGCCTCTATGCCTATGTACCATGCCTGTGCTTTGTGCCTCCAGAGACCAAAAGAGGGCATTGGATCCCTGGAAGTGAAGTTGTGAGCTGACATGTGAGTGCTAGGAATCAAACCTGGACGCCTTGAAAGAGCAGCAAGTGCTCTTAACTGTTAGTCCGTCTCTCTAGCTGCATCCTACCTCGGTTTCTAAGGCAGCGTCTCTCATTGGCTGGGAACTTGTCTAGTAAGCTAGGCTTACTGGCCAGGAAGCCCCAGAATTTACTTGACCCTGCCTTCCCAGAGCTAGGGATTATAAGTATGTAGTATCATACCCAGCAGTTTTGAAAATGCTAGTTGTGAGGATTCAACTCAAGACTGCTGGGTAAGCACTACTCCTTGAGCCATCTGTCCAGCCCCATGTTTACCACGTCAGTCCATCTTTCCCCCTTCTCTCTCCTGACTCCTTCCTTGTGTAGCATGCAGTGATCAACATGCAAGCAGCAGGCTTGGTTCTCTCACCCTGGCAATCTCAGCATAGGCCAGCCCTAGGATGCCCTCCCAGTTGGAACCATTGATGAAGAACTTGTCCGATTCAGTGATGGCAGCAATGTTGGCACGCACAGTGACGTTGGGGCCATGAGGGATGCTCACCAGGTCGGTGCCCAGTTCCCCCTCCCACTTGCCCTGGGTGTAGGGCACATACACACCCTTTCGGAGGTCTCGGTATGTGCTGGACCTATAAAAAAGAAGCAAAGCTATGACAATAGGTGTGTGTCGTTAAATATATTCCCAAATGCGCTCCTTACTGCATTCTAGAATCCACTCAGCTGAACAGCCCTAGACGTATCACCCAGAACAAAATGTAAAGCATCCCTGCAGATAGATTAGCTGTAGCTGGGGCTTGCTCTCCTGTCCGCATAGTTTATACTGTTGGACCTGAAGCTCAGGCTAAAGAACAAGATGGGCTTTGTACATTGTGTCTGTGGCTGCTGCAAAAACAGCTGTTGGACATCTCCTCCCCCACACCAGTTCCATCACAGTCCCAGAGAAAAAGAGCCATTGACTCACTTGCTGCCTTGGGGCCCAGTGGTACCAACTGAGTGGTGGAGAAAACTAGGCAGGGTGACTGTGGAAGCCATGGAATAGCCTCTAAAGGAAATTGGAACAAATATCCCTGCACAGCAGGCGGCCACTGGAATCCGCTAGAGTACTCACTGCTGTGGGGTGCCCTTCCCTTTCCTCTTTATCTTGTAACTACCCAGGGCTGGGCAGTGATGGCACTGTGTGAAAACTTACAATGGATGCCCTTGCTCTCATCTTACCCACACTCCTTCCCCAACTGTATTCTTAGGGAAAAAGGAAACAGGGCACTGGTTTGTACTTTCCTATAAGTCCCAGGCTTCCTCCTGTCCTCACACAGACATGCCGCCAGTACTGGCTTCTCCTCACCACATCCTCATTCTGCTTTTACGACCAGTCATTCACAACGCTCTTTACCATGTCTTACATAAAAAACCCATTCTAGCCCACCTCCCACCACCGAGCTGAACCCAGCTGGTGGCACAGTGGTACCCGGAGACAGTTCAGTGGGGTTCCATAAAGGACTCTTCTTATTTTCTGGCTTTTTAAAACTGAAGAGTAAGGTCATTGTTGTACATGGAGTACATGCACAGATGTGCACGCAGAGGCCAGAGGATAATCAGTCTCCATTTTATTTTTTATTTATTTATTTTTTTATTTTTTTTGGTTTTTCGAGACAGGGTTTCTCTGTGTAGCCCGGGCTGTCCTGGAACTCACTCTGTAGACCAGGCTGGCCTCGAACTCAGAAATCCTCCTGCCTCTGCCTCCCAAGTGCTGGGATTAAAGGCGTGCGCCACCACCGCCCGGCTCCATTTTATTTTTTGAGACAGGATCTTTCACTAAGCCTGAAGTTTTTAGCTGGCCAGAAAGCTAGATCTGCCCGTCTCAGCCTGCCAATGCTGGGGTTAACAGGCATGCAAGCCATGGCAGGCTTTAAGTAGGTACTAGAACTTAAAACCCAGTCCTCTTGCTTTCATAGTAAGTTCTTAGTCACTGAGCCATCTCCCCATCTCCCTTTTCTTTTTCTTTTTTTTTTTTTTTTTTTGAGAGTTGCTATGTAGCCCACACTGGTCTACACAGTGACTGGGATTACTGGTATATATCATCATGCCTAGCTCTTTCTTCTTGCTTAAATCATATTTAACTACCCCGGAGCAGCCCCCAGGTGAGAACATGGTGAAAGGCACTAACCACTAACCTGTTCAGCCTTCTAAACTGTAGCCACAACAATGTAGCCTATCCAGATAGACAGAGAATGAGATGGTTCGTGTTCTGCTCTAGGAGCCTTGGGGCGGAAGCGCTTCGTGTCTGCCTCTTTTTTTTTTTTTAAAGATTTATTTATTTATTATATGTAAGTACACTGTAGCTGTCTTCAGACACCCATATGAGGGCATCGATCTCATTGTAGATGGTCATGAGCCACCATGTGGTTGCTGGGATTTGAACTCATGACCTCTAGAAGAGCAGTCAGTGCTCTTAACCGCTGAGCCATCTCACCAGCCCTTGTGTCTGCCTCTTAACCCACCCTCTCCCACACGGTATCTTTCTTCCTGGCCCCAGCTGCCTCCTTTTGCTTCCCCCCTCCCTAGTAAGAAGAAAGGCTCTTGCTCTTGGACCCTCTCCCACCCCTCCCCAGGACTTACAGCTGCCTCTGGTAGTAGCGATGCAGGAAAGGGTGTGGGGCAGCCCCCACTGCAAAGTTACTACTGCCTGTGTCCACCAGGATGTTGAGCTGTCAGAGAAAGGGGAGAGAAAAGACATTGCAAACAGATAGTTCTGGACCCACCGGCCTATGGTCCTACTGTGTGTTCATGGAATAAGAGCAGCCAGGCTGACAGCATTGGAACCAAGGCCACAGATAGACTTTGAGGGTCCTCCCGAGCCTCAGAGACTGCACATGTGACTCTCTGTGTCATGCTAGTGTTTCCTGTCACCTGATCTTCATTATTTCCCTCTGCCATCAAGAGGGAGGCCTGTGCTGTGACTGATCCACTCTGTCTGGCACTGGCAAGGAAAGATGTGTGGGGTCTGTGAGTGGGGCACATTGGTACCCAGGTGTGTATAGGACTCCATGCCACATAATGTGGCTTCTCCTGAGTTACTTAAGCTTATGTGTGCCATCATCAGAAAGAATGGGGATCCAGGAGCCCCATGGCTAAGGGTGTACAGACTGCTGTGTCTGTGTCCTTTGCTGTGCAGCTTGCTAACATGTCCCCTGTTCTACTGCTTGTAATGGACTCCTCTTAGTGAAATGAATAGTATTCTTTTTTTTTTTTTTTTGAAAAAGGATCGGACCATTCATTCTCTTTAAATTGTAAAAACCAAAGAGAACATTAAAACTCATGAAAACCCCAAATAAACTCTGCGTCTTCATTTGCTTTCAGTTACCTGTGCTCATCACTGATTTTAGAAGTTGTTTAACATAAAGTAAAAAAAAAAAATTGACAACCTCTTCTATTTGGTCGCCCACCTTGGTGTAAGGGTTGTTCAGAGTTTTGGTTGTTGTTTTTAAATTGTTTTTCAAACTTGGAGATACTTTCTAGGTCAAACTGGTTGAAGCCACTGACCCTGGACTTGCACAAATGTCCAGTAGGCAACCTTTTGATGTCACAGAGCCAAAACCCCTGCCCACACGTCATGTCAGTGTACACATCCTACGAAGAGTCATGAAGTTTATGCATGTGCAGACAGACCACCCCTTATTTCAGCTTTCCTTACCTGCAGTCACTTTCCACTGTGACTTGTCTTAGCTTCCATCATGTGACACATGCCTAAAGCAACTTAAGAGGAAAGTATTTTGTGTTTCTGGTTTCCTCCTCTTCCTTTTTTTTTTTTTTTTTTTTTTTTTTTGTTACTGTTGTTTTTGAGGCAGGGTCTCCTGTCACCCAGGATGACACTTGAGCTCACTTTGGAACTGAAAGTGACTTTGACCCTTTATTCTCCCTCTGCCTCCAGGGTGTTGAGGTTACACACACATGCCACTGTGTGACTGTCCCTTCCTCCCCTCCTCTAGTAGTCAGCTCAGGGTTTCAGATGTTTCAGTCTATGGTCACTAGGCCACTTTGCTTTGGTATATACCAACATAGTACACCGTGTGACAAAGGAGACCTGTCACAGCAGCCAAGAAGCCAAGAAAGAAGAAGGAGCCAGAATTCTAATATGTCCTCCTAGAGTGTACCCCCAGTTACCTGACTTCCTCCCACTAGCACCACACTGAAAACACATGATCCTTTGGGGTGCACTTTAGATACAAGTTGTAGCAGCCCTGTTTCTTTACCACACCAGCATCCTTCAACCTTCTCTTCTCCAGAAGCAAATTTTAGTCTGAAGGTTCCTCGTCTTGCCATTTAGCCACCTCACAAATGAATTAGCTTTGTAAAACTAGTCACTGCTGTGACGCAGAGGGCATAGCAGGCCAGGTAAGGTCAGGCTCTGATGGCCTGACCCAGCCCTCAGCCAGACCAGACCATTATGGGGTTTGCTGTTTTAGAGGAGCAGGGAAAGGGCTCTGTCCTCAGGAAAAAAACAGCAGTCTGTCATGGACTTTCTCTGACCTCCAAAGCCCTGCACCTCAGCTTTTTCCAATGGCCTTCCCTTCCTTTCTCAGTGAAGTCAGCAGAGCTCTGACCTAGTCACCTTGAGAAGGTCACCACGTCCCTGAGCTTGTTCTGTTCCGTCTGTTAGGGCCTTCCCCACCCCCTCCAGGCTCAGCAGTGTCTATGGGCTGTGCTGGCTGCTTCCAGTGCCTGCTTAGGTTCCCTGATCACCCCCAAAGACTCCTCTACACTGGTGGCCAACCCTTGGACCCTGCCTCAAGACCTCCTCTCCAGCTCCCACTCCGGGCTGGGTTCCCATTTTCCTCCCTGCCCCCTTCTCTCCACCTCTACTCCTGTGCCTCTCCCTGGTTTCTGGGCAGCCACCAGTTAACAGCAGCTGTGCTTTTAGAAAAATCAATAGCGCTGGGAGGCTCCTCCACAGTCAGATTTCCAGCAGCTGGGTTAATGGTTAAAAGGCTTCACCCCCTTACCAGGACCCCTTTCTGTACCTTTAGGGCTTAGCTCCTAGCACCAGAAATGGTTCCCCTCCTGACACAGTCCCTGTAACCTGTTCATGGGAGGGACTACTTGAGATCTGTGTAAAGGCCAGCTCGAGCAGATTGGCAACTTCTTTACACTAGACTGGAGTCTCTCTATCCAGGTAGCCCCACCCCTCCACCCCCGTTGTTCAAGGCCTTTTCCTGTCTCCCCTCTCTTCAGGCCTCTCCCTTCTCTACCACAAGGTACTGATCCTTGTTTGCCTTCCAGTCCCAGCCTTACTCTTTCACCTGAGGAAGGTCTCTCTCAGACAAACAGGGCTAAGTCCAAGAAAGAACGACCTTCCTCAGTCCCGAGCCCCTCCGCCTCCCCAGCGTGCCCTATTCCAGGGCTTCAGACGCCTATTGGTCTTGCCTCTCCCTCTCCACAACAAAACAGGAAAACGGTGAGACTCCCTCCGCAGCAGTGTCTGGCTGTCCCTCCTATGCATGTGGAACAGCCTGCTGCTGGGAAGTGATTTCTGGGGCTGTCTTTCAACATTTCTATCTGAGCCCCCTGGGCAGCTCTTGGCAGCCTCTCCGTTTCAGCTTGGTGCAGCCCTGAGGCAGGAACTGAGCCACCCAGAACTCTCATTGTCAAACAAGGCAGTTAGTGGGGGAAAGAGTTGCAGAAGCCTCCTATCTCCTGGGCCCAGAGCCCACTCCAGTCTTCCTCAGCCTTCCTGGGCCTGAGGCTACCCCAGCCACTCTGTCCTTCCTCCTGGCTCGGGCCTCGGCTTTTATCTGGGCTGGGAAGACAATTCCCTCCTTGCTCCTCTGCCAGGCACCCATTCTAGACATGATCCTCTTTCCCTCCGGCTAAGTCAACCGCCATGCTCCATGGGCTCCCGCTCCTCCATCCCGACACCACGGAATCCGAATTCTTCCCACTGGCCTTTATACAAATGCCGAGTCTCTTCATTAAAAACAACACAAACCCTCCTGATTCTCACACCCGCCTCCAGCTACCCTCTCTTCACAAGCTAAGCTCTCAGCCAAGCTGTCTTCATTTCTTCACCTCCTACTCTTTCTCAAGCCATTCTAAAACTGGCTTTCCTGCATCCCGCCACTATGAAACAGCCCTTACTACAGTTCCTGATGATTTCACAGGGACAGATCCATGAGAGATCTTTCACATCACTCCCATGTCCCCTCTCAGGTCCTCTCTTGCCTCCCCCCCCCTCACAGGCTGACACCCCCAGCTTGGCTTTGTCTTCTTTCCCAGTACACTTTCCCATAGACACCTCCGAGTAGGGATGCCCAAAACCAACCTCTACTGGGTCCTCTTCAGTACTCTCTGTATTAGTAAGTGGTGGCACTATCCAATCTGTTCTGTAAGGCAGTAACCTCAGAGACTCTTTAATGGCTTTCTTCATCTCTGTCCCCAGTGTTCCCTTAGTCCTGTCCAGTCACCATCCTTTAAAGAGTGTTTGTATGTCTTATTTCTTTCCAGCTCCTCTACCACCCCTTGGCCCAGTTAGCTTATCCTGGGATATCACAGGGCTTCTTAACCTCAGCACACTCTCTCTCTCTCTCTCTCTCTCTCTCTCTCTCTCTCTCTCTCTCTCTCTCTCTCTCTCTCTCTCTCTCTCTCTCTCTCTCTCTCTCTTTCTCTCTCACTCTCTCTCTCTCTCTCTCTCTCACACACACACACACACACACACACATGTACACACACACACACAATATATATATAATCTTCTATGTATGCATGTGTGTACAGGAGGATGAGGTCAGCATAGGTTGTCAGATCCCCTGGAACTGAAGTTACAGATGGTTGTGAGCCACCATGGGGTCCTTGGAACTGAACCTTCTCTGCGAGAGCAGCAATATGTTCTTAAACCACTGACCCATCTGTGCAGCCTCCAATCTGAACTGTCCTGCCATGTCTGCCTTTGACCTCACCATTCTGTCTTCTGTCCCGTGGCCTGAGTCACCTTCCCAAGGTCAGATAGGACCAAGTTGCCCTCCTAAGACAGCAGACGTCGATTACTATGAAAACTTCTGGCTTGCACACTTCCTTCAGGGCATGTCCAACCTACCCTGCTCGAATGCTCAGCCTCAGGCAAGTCTTCAAACCCCACCACACATCACTTGCTCCTGCCTGGGAGCCCTGGGCCCTTCCCACAGAGTGGCACTGGCCGCTGCCTCTGCCTGACCCCTCCTCTTCTCAGTTCTATGTCTTAACTTCTTCATCTTTAAGCCTCAATATAAACTTCCTCCCTGGGGAGGAAGACCAGGGTCCATTCCCTTAACTGTAACTAACTGTAAGCTCCTTTACTGTTGGCTTCTCTGACTCTCGCCTTCCCTGTCTAAGAACTTTAAATCCTCAGTGTAGCCTTAGTTTGGTTTCCTAGTGCCTGACAAGAGGTGTTTCTTGAAAACTGGTTTTTCAAGTTTTTTAAAACAATAGGTGTTTCTTGAAAACTGGTGAGGGAGAAAGTCCCTCAGAGGCTCCCAATAGCTGGTTAGTTTTATGATCTGCCTTGCTTTCTTTACCTAGCTTGCCTTGTCTTGACAGGAGGTTCAGACCACATGTGTTGTAGCTTTCCTCCTAGTCCCCTAGCCTCGGGAGACCTAGGAGTCCCATGCCCAGGAGATTGAACTTGGGGTCAGGACTAGGTCAGTGCCAATCACTTAACAAACAAATGTGCTCCTTG